TAAACGATCTTCCTGACAACCTTTTATCTAAAGTAGCTCTTTTTGCTGATGACTCAACTTTATACTCCTGTCTTGACAAAAAGTCTTCTCTTTTCGATCGCCTAGAACAAGCAGCTGATCTTGAATCTGATCTCACTTCAGTAATAGATTGGGGTTCACAGTGGCTTGTGAATTTCAACTCTAAAAAAACCCAATTGCTTACTGCAAACAACTACCGTAATATGGTCAACATTCCTATATTAATGAATGGCAATCCTCTTACTGAGTCGTCCTCTTTACGTCTTCTTGGATTATCGCTTACTACTGACCTTTCATGGAAACCATATATACAAATGATTGCTAAATTAGCTTCTGGTAAGGTTGCTTCTCTTTATCATGCTCGCCATTTCCTTACTTATGATTCCATTCTCTACCTCTACAAATCTCTTATTCGTCCCTGTATGGAATACTGTTGTCATATTTGGGCTGGTTCTTCTAACGATTCACTCTCTCTTCTTGACAAGGTCCAAAAACGCATTGTAAATGTTGTTGGACCTAGACTATCTGCTAAGCTTGAACCTATTTCCCATCGTCGTAAAGTTGCATCTCTTTTTCTTTTCTACAGATACTATCATGGTCACTGCTCAAAGGAGTTATCATCTCTAGTTCCATCAACTAAAATTCATTCTCGTTTTACTCGTCATTCAGCTAAGTCTCATTCGTTTTCTGTATCTGTCCCTGCATGCTCTAAAAACTTTTATTCATCTAGTTTTTTTCCCCGCACTTCAATTCTTTGGAACTCTCTCCCATCTTCATGTTTTCCTGACTCATACAACCTTCAACTTTTTAAGTCTTCTGTCAACCGTTTCCTTGCTCTATAACTCTGTTCTTTTTTTTTCCTAGTAACTCCCAACTTAATAGTGGTTGCTTGCAGCCTTGTTGGGAGTGAATGCAAATAAAAAAAAAAAAAAAAAAAAAAAATTCGAATTGTTGACTTGTCATTAGACATTAGTGTTTAAATGAAAGAAAACTTTTTAGGGTTTTTTTATGTTTCTGAATCTACAGGCTTAGGACTTATTGAAGTTTTAATCGAATTGCTAACTGAACATAGACTTGAAATCTCTAACTGCAGAGGTCAAGGATATAATAATGAATCAAATATGAAATGAAAGATTAACAAAAAGCACAAAAAAGGATTTTAAATCTTAATCCTTTTATCATTATATGTTCCCTGCGGCAGTCATAGTTTAAATTTGGCTCTGCACGGTTATCAGTAATATCTATAACTTTATTCGGTATTCTCCAGAGTTTGTTCACTCTATTCTCAGCCGACGGAAAATGTTTAATGATCATGTTAAAATTTTAAGTCTAAAGAACAATGTGACACGCGATGGGAAACAAAAAAAAGTAGTGTCAAAGCCGCTCGTTATCAAGTTGGTCATATACATCTTGTCAGAAAATAAAGGATGTGATCCTGAAACTGCACATAAAGCGATAACCCTAGCAGAGTAATTGAAAGACTTTAGCTTTCTTGTCTCTTTAATTGTCTGGAATGACGTTTATTTTCAAGTCAATAATGTTTGTAAAACTCTTAAAGAGAAAGCCATGGATATCACATAATGGGCAAAAATAGTGAAAATTAAAACTGTTGCTCATTTTTAAAAAACTACAGAAAATGTGGTTTTTAAGATGCAGTTATAAAAGCAAAGAACTTAACTGTGGAATTACAAGTGGAACCTGTTTTTAACACTTAAAAGAATAGCACAAGTAAATTGCCATTTTGACAAACCAGCCCAAGATAAGTTTTATTCAATTTCTCCTGAAAAACAATAAGAAAATAATTTTTTTAATCCTCTTTTAGACAAAACTCTATGAGAGAAAGATTTTACAGTTATAAAAATATTCAGAAATTTGGGGTTTTTTGTATTATGTCGATAGTTTGCAAAAAAGGGAAGAAATTCTAAAGTCATGTTTAGTTTTTTAAAGTAAATATATATATATATATATATATATATATATATATATATATATATATATATATATTATATATATAATATATATATATATATATATATGTATATATATATATATATATATATATATATATATTATATTAAAAATAACTTAAATACCAATAACTTACAAGTTAGATCTTCAGTTATTGTTATTGCTTTAAGAAATTGAGTAAATTTTATTTAATTTAATAATATATACTTATTATGTTATTAATCAAATTTATATAGGAATCTAGAATAAATGAAATACAGAAATATTCAAATATCTAAATTCATATTAATGTCATCTGTGTTTTGTTTTGTGATACACAATGTCAAATAGCACATTAAGTAAATAAATAAGCAAAACAGTGTGCCATTATATTTTTGCATATTAGAAAACCTTTATTTCATAAAAGTTGTTTTTTTGGCTATTAAAAATTATACAAACTATATTCATTTTTTTAATTAATATTTGCAATATAAATATAAATATATATATGAATATATATATATATATATATATATATATATATATATATATATATATATAT